GATTCTTCTCAAGCCCGTGCTGGATATTACCTTGACACCTGTCCTCTCCCTGCAGCTCCGCAGGGTCTGCGTTACTTTGCTTGCTCCTTGTTACTCAGCTGCCCGCGTTGTTTTGTAAATATAACCTGTGCTTTTCCTATGTATAATTTTATACCGATGTGTATTTGAAAGGTTTATTTCATATCTGTTTGGTGAGTCACTAATGAAAGAATCTGGAGTAGGGAAAACACAGTCCCACTTCAGTGTAATGGTTGAGAATATAGTAAGGACTCAGGGAATTCAGGTGGTTTTGTCAGCCGGAAAGGATGGCAGGGTTAAATTTAAACAGGCTGGAATTTTCTGATTCCTAAGTTCTTTTTCTTTTCTTCTCCATTCCCCCCCCCCCCCTTTTATTTTGATGGGCTCTTTCAGGTACAAGGGGGGGGGAAATGAAGAGGCATGAAGAGTAGTATCTGGAGCTCTTGAGTGTAGTGCAATCAGAACTTAATTTTCTGTATCACTGCACCTTCTTTGCATAAAGTACTTCCTCTCCTCTGTCTTGCAGGGTTCACAAGTTCCTGAAACTCTTCAAAGCCATCAGCAAATACAGTCATTGTACAGTGCTCTTGGGCATTGTGTTTGTTCATGTTTATCAGTTTGGATTGGTGTAGATCTCTTGGTGTTGTGAAACAGTATAGTTTTGTGTTTCTTCAGAATGGGACTTCACTCAGCTTTAGGATATCATAGAACTTTGAAGGTTTTTAAGAACACTTCCGTAGTTGTCCAAGTTATGGCTGGTTTTGGTGAGAATCAATTCAAAATCACTGCTCAGAATTGTTTTCCTACTAAATCTCAGTTTGCTGCTTCCAACCCTTTTAAAGCTATTTGGGAAGTTTAGGCATTATTTGGACAGTGAGCAAAAACACTGGCAAATTCACATAGGAGTAAATTTTCAAAATTTTATGTTAAGAAAAAAAGAAAAGTGACCAGCAATGTTTCTAAAACAAGCTAAAACACCAGTAAAACTCCCCACCCTTTACGGAACATACAGAACCTTGTTAGTGTTTTGGTTTGGTTCTGTTTTACAGTGGTGGTAAATGAGCCTGTTAAGAGATGTTTACATGCATGTCACTTCTGGCCTTTGTGTTTTGGTGCTAAGCAGTGGTAGTTCAGTGACTTGGAAGAGACTAAGTTTCTTGTGAGAACACTGTTAGAGCTCTCCTGGCAGCTACAGTGGGGACACAAAACACTTTTCTTCAGGACAGAGCCTGCAAGGCAGCAGCTAATAAAAAGCCATAAAACTGTTTGGAAAATGAAAGCAAAAATCTTTCTAGACTTTAACAGTTGGACCATTTGTAACAAGCTGCAGGGAACTGAAGCAGCACAAAGCAGTGTGAGGCAGTGCCTATCAGACCCTGCTGGCTGAGCAGCACTGGCAGTTCTGCTTTTCCCCTACCCCCAGAGCAAGCTTTTTTTGCCCTAGGAGGCAAAATTAGGTTTTCTTTCTTAGGTTCATGCTAATATCAGTGTTACTGGTGGTGTAAAAATGGATGGTTAGGACAAATAATTTGAGTTCAGTAACAATGTCCTCACAGTCAGGAGCTGAAAATGAGCTTTGTTTAAAGGACAAACTTGAGCTCAGCTCAAAGCCTCAAGTTTAGCTATTCTCCTCATAGCACAAATGCAAGGGAAAGCAGAGTGATGAGGGGAGAGGTTTGCAGGAACAGCGGAGTTACTTGTACTTTGTGTGGGTTTGAACTTTGGGAAAAGAGACAAAGAAAGACAATGACAGGAGTGGGGAAACAAAAACTTGTGAAGTGCTGAGTGATTTCTTCTCAGTGAAGAAAAACAATTTACTCCATTTTCTGACTACATAGGCTACTTGGTTGACTTCAGGTCCCAGATTTAAGCAAGAAAAAGGAAAAATTAAATGAGTTAGGCTAGAATAAATCATGGGGTTTACTGGTCTGTTGAAAGGAAATGAACTGTCTATTCTGTGCATGCACTTGTCAATATGTAGCTAAAGATGACATTTGCAGGACAAAAGTGTGTAGGGTAAGCTAGACAGCATGCTTTATCTAAATGTTTGGCTCATAGAACACTTTTTCATATGCTTTGTACTTGGAAGAACTTCCATAAAGGCAGTAGATAAGTTCTTTTGATTTTTAGAAAACTGTGAGATTCTGAGCTCAGCTGACCCACTAAGAATTACAGTGGGGGGAACCTTGTGTTTCTGTGACTCAGTGATATGCCAGAGCATTGGGCATGTTTCAGGAATGTTTCTGGCAAAACATGCAGGTTACCAGGTCTAAGCCAAGGCTGTAACCTAGTTGGAAGATGAGCTTGAAGTTTTAGGACAGTTCGGTTATAAACCCTTCTTGGCTGTGCTTCTGTGGGTCACTGAGCTTTGTGTAGCCAGAACCTGCTCGAGACACTGTTATCACCTGTCTGATACAGTATCTGCTAATTGGCCCTGTCTGTCCCCTTGGTCTTTAATCTTACTGGTGGTTTTATAGTATCAGTGTGTGAAACTGATGCAAAGCAGCTTCCAGGCCTTGTTGCAAGGCAAATAACGCGTCAGGAGGACACAGTTGTAGAAAAAAATAATGTATCAAGTCAGAAGAGCTTAAGTTTGTTCCTTCATGTTTCTAAGAGATCTGTCCTCGGTCCTTTTTGACAAAGGCTTGAATGGTTAATGTTTTTCTTCTGGTGAGCCACATTATTGGTATAGAATCATAGAACCAACCGGGTTGGAAAAGATCTCCAAGATCATCAAGTCCAACCCTACTGTGGTTACGAGACCATGACACTAAGTGCCACATCCAGTCTCATCTTGGAAACCTCCAGGGATGGTGAATCCACCACCTCCCTGGGCAGCCCATTCCAATGCCTGATCACTCTCTCCATAAAAAATCTCTTCCTAATATCCAACCTAACCCTCCCCTGGCAGAGCTTGAGTCTGTGCCCTCTTGTCCTCCTGCTGGTTGCCTGGGAGAAGAGACCAACCCCCACCTGACTCCAACCTCCTTTCAGGGAGTTGTAGAGGGTGAGAAGGTCTCCCCGGAGCCTCCTCTTCTCCAGGCTGAACAACCCCAGCTCCCTCAGCCTCTCCTCATGGCACTTGTGCTCGATTCCCTTCACCAGCCTTGTTGCTCTACTCTGGACCCTCTCAAATACTTCTGTATTTCTTCTAGAAGCAGATCAGTGTGTGCCAATTCATCACTGTCAGTAGGAGCAGAAGTTTTCACATGGGTGTGATCTCTGTGTGTGCTGTATTGAACGAGGTGTTTGGCAGATGGACAGAATTATTTGTGCATCAAAAAATGTCATAGTGTGCTTTTAAGACAACTCCTGACCTTAGTATTTAAGGGAGGAGGTTTTTATGCCTACCTGGAAAATGTGTGAGGGAATGCATTGCACAGAGAGCGTTCACTGCTCTGGCAGGAATTGTGTGTGTGTGTGCTTGTCACCCAGGCACGTGGTGGAGCTTCCCTGCTCTCTGGAAGGCTTTAATTTGCTTCAGTGGCAATGAGGGTAGAGAGATGTGTACCCACTAAAAGATGGAGGAAGGTTTATGTTATGGTTTTGAATGCTGCCTTAGAGGAATGGTATATTTCATAGTTCTTGTAATATGGGAAATAAGCAGTAGTCAAAATTTACGTCCAGGAAGAGTGTTGTAAAGTACTGTCCCAGTACTTCTCCCAGTGAAATAAACCACTGTGCCTTCACCTGTAAAACTGTACAAGGTGCCACTCTAGTTTTTAAGGTTGGACTTTCACTGTAAAAGATATCGTAGCAAGTTCATCTTGCAGCAGAACCTATATATTTGATACCATTTTTATCTCAAAACACTTAAGCTTTTTTTGCTGTGTCAGAGCATGGTAACCATTTTTACTGCTGAAAAATCTATTGTGTTTGTTTTCCTGTTTAGAACCATGTTATCAGATGCTTTTTTAGCAATGGGAACATAACTAATGCCTTTGTTTTGTGTGCATGTAAGAACATTTGAGACTGGAAACACAATATAAAGTTGCAACTTCCAAAATTGGCTGGTGATTAATTTCCCATATGGCTGATTTATGAAAATGCCTGGGAATGGTGAAGCTAAGGAGGCTTAAGTGGGGTACAGTTTGATGGTTTAGCTAAGCAACCTTGATGTCTGGATGGAGGTGGGGAAGACATCGCTGCCTTCAGCTGAGTGTTTCCACCATTCCTCCTCTGCTCCAACAACCAAGGAGAGGAAGATCTAAGTGCTCTGGTTTTTGAAGGTTCATCTTTCTGGTGGTTTAGCTCTGTGGCTTGGCTCACTGCAGGGTGATCTCGTGTCAGGCTAAAGGGAGGTGGCAGGAGCGCCGGGGGAAGGAGGAGAGGCTGCAGCCTGAGGGAATACATTGGGATGCTATGTCAGGCCTTACCTGTATTGGGAAAGAGCTATTGTGTTTTAAGTCTGCAGCCAGGTCAATTTGCATAAGTTGATAAGCCCTGGCCTGGCTGTTTGTTTGCAAGGCTCTCCTTTCAGAGCGGGGTGTTTCAGAGGTGCTTCGAGATGTCCTGTACGAGAAGAGAAAGGAAAAGGAGCAAAATTACGCAG